CTCCATGTACAGGTCCCTCCTGATAATATGTCCAAGGTATGTGAGACATAAGTCTCACTGTCATTGCTTCTAAGGAGCATTCTGGCTGTACTTCTTCCAAGACAGATATGATTGTTCTTCTGGCAGTCCATGGTGTAGTCAGTATTCTTCACCAACACCATAATTCAAATGCATCAGTTCTTCTTTGGTCTTCCTTATTCATTGTCCAGCTTTCAAATACATATGAGGCAATTCAAAATACTATGGCTTGGGTGAGGCGCACCTTAGACCTCAAAGTGACATCTTTGCTTTTTAACACTTTAAAGAAGTCTTTTGCAGCAGATTTGCCCAATGCAATACATAGTTTGAAGTCTTGACTGATGCTTCCATGGGTGTTGATTGTGGAGTCAAGTAAAGTGAAATCTTTGACAAATTCAATCTTTTCTCCGTTTATCATGATGTTGCTTATTGGTCCAGTTGTGAGGATTTTTGTTTTCTTTAAGTTGAGGTGTAATCCATACTGAAGGCTGTAGTCTTTGTTTTTCATCAGTAACTGCTTCAAGTCCTCTTCACTTTCAGCAAGCAAGGTTGTGTCATCTGCATATTGCAGGCTGTTAATGAGTCTTCCTCCAATCCTGATGCCGTATTCTTCTTCAAATAATCCAGCTTCTCGAATTATTTGCTCAGCATGCAGAGTGAATAAGTATGGTGAAAGGATACAACCCTGACACACACCTTTCCTGACTTTAAACCACACAGTATCCCCTTGTTCTGTTCTAATGACTGCCTCTTAGTCTATGTTCAGGTTCCACATGAGCACAATTAAGTGTTCTGGAATTCCCATTCTTCGCAATGTTATCCGTATTTTGTTATGATCCACACAGTCAAATGCCTTTGCATGTCAGTAAAACACAGGTAAACATCTTTCTGGTATTATCTGCTTTCAGCCAGGATCCATCTGTCATCAGCAATGATACCCCTGGTTCCATGTCCTCTTCTGAATCTGGCTTGAATTTCTGGCAGTTCCCTGTCAATGTCCTGCTGCAACTGCTTTTGAATGATCTTCAGCAAAATTTTACTTGCATATGATACTAATGATATTGTTTGATAATTTCTGAATTCTGTTGGATCACCTTTCTTTGGAATGGGCACAAATATGGGTCTCTTCCAGTCGATTGACCAAGTAACTGTCTTCCAAATTTCTTGGCGTAGACGAAAGAACACTTCCAGCATTGCATCCATTTGTTAAAACATCTCAGTTGGTATTCTGTCAGTTCCTGGAGCCTTGTTTTTCACCAATGCCTTCAGTGCAGCTTAGACTTCGTCTTTCAGTACCATCAGTTCTTGATCATATAGTACCTCTTGAAATGACTGAATGTCAACCAGTTCTTTTTGGTACAGTGATTCTGTGTATTCTTTCCATCTTCTTTTGATGCTTCCTGCATTGTTCAATTTTTTTGCCAATAGAATCCTTCAGTACTGCAACTCGAGGCTTGAATTTTTTCTTCAGTTCTTTCAGCTTGAGAAACGTCAAGCATGTTCTTCCCTTTTGGGTTTCTAACTTCGGGTCTTTGCACATTTCATTGTAATACTTTACTTCTCAAGCAGCTCTTTGAAATCATCTGTTCAACTCTTCTGCTTCATCATTTCTTCCTTTTGCTTTAGCTACTCTATGTACAAGAGTAAATTTCAGAGTCTCTTCTGACACCCATTTTGGTCTTTTCTTTCTTTCCTGTCTTTTTAATGACCTTTTACTTTCTTCATGTATGATGTCCTTCCACAACTCGTCTGGTCTTTGATCATTAGTGTTTAATGCATGAAATCTATTCTTGAGATGGTCTCTAAATTCAAGTGGGATATACTCAAGGTCATATTTTGGCTCTCATGGACTTGTTTTAACTTTCTTCAACTTCAACTTGCACTTGCATATGAACAATTGATGGTCTCTTGCACAGTTGGTCCCTGGCCTTGTTCTGACTGATGATATTGAATTTCTCCATCATCTTTTTCCACATATATAGTTGATTTGATTCCTGTGTATTTCATCTGGCGAGGTCCACGTGTATAGCTGCCATTTATGTTGCTGAGCAAAGATTTTCCAATGAATAGGTCGTTGATCCTGTAAAATTCTATCATGCAATCTCCGGCGTCTTTTCTATCACCAAGGCCATATTTTGCAACTCCTGATCCTTTTTCTTTGTTTCCAAATTTTGCATTCCAATCACCAGTAATTATCAATGCATCTTGATTGCTTGTTTGATCAATTTCAGACTGCAGAAGTTGGTAAAATCTTCAATTTCTTTGTTGTTCACATAAGTGATTGGTGGGTAAATTTGAATAATAGTTGTATTAACTGGTCTTCCTTGTAGGCGTATGGCTATTATCACTGACAGCATTGTACTTCAGGATAATCTTGAAATGTTCTTTTTGACAATGAATGTGACGCTGATCCCCTTCAATTTGTGATTCCTGGCATAGTAGACCATATGATTGTCAGATTCAAAATGGCCAATACCAGTCCATTTCAGCTCTCTAATGCCGAGTATATCTATCTTCCAGTGTTCCATTTCATTTTTGACAACTTCCGATTTTCCTAGATTCATACTTTGTACATTCCACCTTCTGATTATTAATGGATGTTTGAAGCTGTTTCTTCTCATTTTGAGTCATATCACATTGACAGATAAAGGTCCTGAAAACTTCACTCCATCCGTGTAATTAAGGTCCACTCTACTTTTCCCCAGTTGTATTTCGAGTGCCTTCCAACCTGAGGGGTTCATTTTCTGGCACTATGTCAGACAGTGTTCTACTGTTATTCATAAGGTTTTTACTGGCCAGTTTTTTTAGAAGTAGATCACCAGATCGTTTTTCCTAGTCTGTCTTAGTCTGGAAGCTCCGCTGAAACCTGTCCACCATGGGTTACCCTACTGGCATTTGAAATACCAGTGGCATAGCTGTCAGCATCACAGCAACCTTAAAGCCACCACAGTATGACAAACTGACAGACGAGTAGTGGGGTCAATGTCTTACTGGGCAGTAAAGCCGTAACATTTGATTTTATATTTTTTTTTTTTTTGACAGACAGAAATGATTTGCATCTTTACTGGACAAAAATTATTTGCAATTTACCAATCTTCTACAAATATCTAAACTCATGGAGTCTGAGTTCTAATCAATAGCTAATAGTAAGTCAAGCAAAACTATATCCCCAAATAGGCAGATGAACAGGATTATTAGCACTCTAGTATGACCTTGAAAGGGCAGGTAATAATCCTTTGATTTATCTTAAAACTTTAGATACTTTTTCTTAACTATAAGAATTACCACACTCTCAGAGATTCTGATTCAGTACTTCTGTGGTGGGAAGCAGGAATCTGCATTTTAAACAAACATCCTAGGTGATTCTGACACAAATAGCCTATGGATCCTTCTTTAAGAGAGATGGCAGGTAGTAGCCAGGATTTTATTTAGGATTAGTGGTTTTCTTGTAGTTCAGAGATTTTTTTAATACGAAGAAATTGAAAGATTGATGCATTTATTTACTGAGTAAAAGCTAACAGTCTCCATTTACCTAGTTAGGTTGCTATATGGCACCTTTGAAGCTTGTATCCCATATCTTAGTGTAAGTCTAAGATTGAAGGAAAAATGGCCAAATGTCCAACTGTGAAAGTGCAAGCTCATTTATTAAATAAGTATCAGCACTTAATCATGCCTGACATGAAGCAAGTGTTCAATAAATGTCACTAATCACGCTAAATAAAACACTCTTCATCATCAATTCATTAAGTCCACCAATAAAGCCATAACCTCATAAAATTTATTAAGCCCTTATTTTATTCCAGGCATGCTATCAGGTAATTTTTTAAATGTTTATTTATTTATTAAACATTTATCACTTATTGTGTGCCAAGTGCTTTGTAAGATGTTGGTTATACAGAGGAAAAAAAGACCTGATCTTTGTCTTCAAGAAGTTTATAGTCTAGTTGAAAAGATAAATAAGTGAATCTACAACAATGGTGTTGTGTGTTAAATGGCAGAGGTATGCTCTGGATGCTATAGAGGCGTAGAGATGGAGCACCTACATCAGTTTCAGGGATCAGGAAAGGCTTTCCTGAGTAGGTAATACATGAATTGCTTTTTAAGGGGTAAGTAGGAGTTAACTAGGTCTCTGTATGGCACAAAAGTTTGTGCTTGACTACTAACCTAAAGGTTGGTAGTTTGAACCCACCCAGCATTTGTGGAAGAAAGGCCAGGTGATCTGCTACCATAAAGATTACAGCCAAGAAAACCCTACGGAGCAGTTCTACTTTGTAAACAGCATGAATCCCTTGACTTGATGGTGGATACCAAGCCATATACTTTATTATGATTTCTTCATGAAAAATGGCATCACAAAGTCTCAGCTGAAAGGAAAATTGGGGTTGTTTAGGAGAAAGTTGTTGCCAATAACTAAAGGGAAAATGAAAGGAAATGGAGACTTAAAAAGGGGAAGAAAGAAGGGGAAAGAGGCTATCCAACAACCTGGAGAAGTGGTCAATCTGAGGAGAGAATAACAGAGGGGAAAAAGTGGATAAAAGATAAGAGAATGACAGATTTGGGGGAAGGAGGAATACAAAAGCCAGGAAGATATGGAGAGAGGAGATGAGAAAAGAAAAAACTTATTTGAGGTTGGAAATTGAGGAAAGTGACATTGGCCCCATAGGAAAAAAAAAAAAAAAGGTCTGGGAATGAAGGGATCTCCAGGTTGAGGTAGATGGGTGGGGAGAGAATGGGGAGATGATACAGAGTGAAGGGGCAGCGGCAGGTGTTTGAGGCAGCGGAACCGAAGCAATCTGGGCGGAGCAGGTGGCAGAAGCAGCGGCGAAGGGGGCAGGATCCAGCCAGGTCCCCGCCTCAACAGTGGCAACTGGAGTGGCTGTTCATCCTCGGCCAGAAGGATGCGCCCTGGCAGTCCAGGGAGGCGGTAAAAAAACGAAGCAGGAACGGAAAATAGGATTGGAGAGGCCAGTAGCGAGATATTCATGAAGAGAATCGACAGCAGTTCCCTCTGCCGCCGCCGATGTGACTGCAACGGCTGTTGCTGCAGCGTATCCTGCCGGGCGCACCAAGCGCCTTACTGGTCCGGGGACCAGGGGCCAGCTCCACCGTCCCGGTGGCATCCCCCTGGCCTAGAACGGCGGCGCCCGGAGCTGTCCCGGAGCTGGGCGTTGGCGGCCGAGGAGGAAGCAGCAGCCGCGGCGGCCGCATCCTGGATGAGGTGAGGGCACCGCCAGCTCTTGGCGCTTGGAGACCAGGAGGTGCGGATCTCGCCACGGTGTTGGTACGCCATGCTTTGGGCAGGCTGGGGCTATGGGGCCGTGGACCCGGGCGCCTGGAAAGGGTTGGCGCAGAGTGACAATTGCCTGGAGAAGGTTGGAGGGCAGGGGAAGTGATAGGGCCTGTGTTGGGGATGAGAGGGGCGGGGGTGGCGGGGAGTTGCCTAGAAATAAACGTGTGGCCCTGGATTGTAGGGATTAAATCTTGAGAAACCTGATCTCTATCCCAAGGACTTTCCTTGATGTGTCGACACCCTCTTTGTTGCTGGAGGTGAGGTTGAAGGCTATGCCTGTTGGGTGGAGCCAAAGGAGACATGAACACATGATTCAGGAGGACATTCCAGGATGGAAGCATTAGGGACGGGAAAAGAAGATAAAGGATCAGGAAATGTGCATGGGGGTACAGTTGAAAGAGCCCTCAGTGCCTTCTCTTATACCTCCTTCTTTTTTGGATATACATCTCAGATACAGACAGCTGGGTAGGGGCTGGTGATGGCTGCTCTTCCTTGGCCACCTCCTTTCGCCTGCAGGGCTGGAGACCTGCCTGTTGGCTGGTTTCGAGGTCTTGCAGAACAAGCTCCATTCTAAACCCAGTCCCCTCCTTTGCTCTGGCTTAGAAGACTGAACAGATCAGGCCCAAATTTTCTTGCTGTAGCAGCAGCAGCAGGATGAAAATCTGTCATACATACAATTTTCTGGAGAAGAAACAGACTGTGCTGCTGCCTTTTTTCAATAAGCGTTTCCTTGTTGTAGCGTATTTAGCTTATTCTTTCATGGGAAATCAATACAGTACTCATAAACTACAAGGCAACAGTGGTTTCTGTCTCCAGGCTGCCATTAACTAACTGGGATTTTAGAGAAGTTATTTCATTTCACTTGGCCTCAGTTTCCTGTGCATAAAATTGGGATTTGGATTAAAAGAGTATTACAGAACTAAATAGTCACTGGTTCTGTATTCTGTGTGCAGGACACTGTTTTATTTGTGAACGATGAAACTTAAGTCTACTCACAGACACAAAGAAGCTGAAGGAGTCGGTAGTCCTTAGCCCCTGTGCCAAAGGCAAGCTGTGGGAAAAGCAGGGAGGGGAGTGAAGGTGGCGATGGGGGAAAGTTGGTGATGGGGGTGTGAAGGTGGGATGGAGGAAAGTTGGGGATGGGGGGAGGAAGGAGGGAGTTCACAGGCATGTTATGCAGACCTGGATCGTGGCCTGCATATTTCAGAATAGGAATTTGCTCCGTAGGGTTTTCAAGGGTTATAATCTTTAAGAAACAGATCACCAGGCCTTTCTGCAGTGATGTGACTGGGTAGATTCGAACCACCAACCTTTCAGTTATTAGTTGAGCACAAACCATTTGCACCACCCAGGGACCTTATACACTGACAATATGAACCAGGTGGTTAATGGCATCTGGCTATGGTGCTGAGAGACAGAGGAGCAGGGAGGGCTTCACATAGGACATGAATTTTGGCTGGCCCGACAAGATATGAAGCTGGGGTTGGGTGGGAAGCAAATCCTAGCAGAGAAACACTAGCAAATGTATGACCCTGGGAAAATATTGAAGTGAGGCCTATGCTGTGATAGAACTTTTCTATGAGGATCTAATTCAAAGCTGATCCTCTTTCAAGTATATATACAGTTATTAAAAATGAGGAATTAAGTGAGCTGTCAGATGATGGAAGTCTATCTCAATGTACTTATTTGAAGCTTAGTAGATTCCAGAACACTGAATTGTGCTCATGAGGAAGTTATACATAGACCAAGAGACAGTCATTCAAACAGAACAAGAGGATACTGTGCGGTTTAAAATCAAGAAAGGTGTGCGTCAGGGTTGTATTCTTTCACCATACTTAGTCAGTCTGCATGCTGAGCAAATAATCCGAGAAGCTGGACTGTATGAAGAAGAAACGTGGCATCAGGATTGGAGGAACACTTATTAACAACCTGTGATATTCAGATGGCACAACTTTACTTGTTGAAAGGGAAGAAGACTTGAAGCACTTACTAATGAAGATCAAAGATCACAGCCTTCAGTATGGATTACACCTCAACACAGAGAAAACAAAAATCCTCACAAGTGAACTAATGAGCGACATCATGATAAACGGAGAAAAGATTGAAGTTGTCAAGAATTTCATTTTACTTGGGTCCACAATCAATGCCCATGGAAGCAGCAGTCAAGAAATCAAACAACATATTGCATTGGGCAAATCTGCTGTTAAAAAGTGTTCAAAATCAAAGATGTCACTTTGAGGACTAAGGTGTACCTGACCCAAGCCATGATATTTTCAATCACCTCATATGCATGTGAAAGCTGGACAATGAATAAGGAAAACCAAAGAAGAATTGATGCATTTGAATTATGGTGTTGGCAAAGAATACTGAATATATCATGGACTGCCAGAAGAACAAACAAGTCTGTCTTGGGAGAAGTACAGCCAGAATGCTCCTTAGAAGTGAGAATGGCGAGAGTTCATCTTTTGTACTTTGAACATGTTATCAGGAGGGACCAGTCCCTGGAGAAAGACATCATGCTTGGTAAAGTAGAGGGTCAGTAAAGAAGAGGAATACTCTCAATGAGATGGATTGACACAGTGGCTGCAACAATGGGCTCAAACATAGCAAAGATTGTGAGGATGGTGCAGGACCAGGCAGTGTTCCATTCTGTTGTACGTAGAGTTGCTGTGAGTCGGAACCGACTCGACGACATCTAACAACAGCAGACCACATTCTCAGTGGATAGCCTGGAACCAGCAGGCAGCTATCATGGAAAACTGATTTCAGAGACAGTTCAGTAAATTCCTAACATCACACTTTAACCATTACATCCCTCTAGCCATTTCTTTCTTTCTCTCACTCTTTTTTCTTATCATTATATTTTTTATAGTTTTTGAAAGATAAATGACATATAATAAATTGGATAAATTTAAAGTATACAATTTGATAAGTTTTGACATATGTATGTCCTAAGAAATCACCACTATGATCAAGATGATAAATATATTCATCATCCCCAAAACTTTTCTTCTGCCTGTTTATGATCTCTCCCTCCTGTCTCTTCCTGCCCTGCTAATATACAAGTAACCACTACTTTCTGTCACAATACATTAGTTTGCATTTTCTAGACTTTTATATAAATAGAATCATATAATGTGTATTCCTTTTTTATGTGGCTTCTTTCACTCAGGGTAATTATTTTGAAAGATTTCCATATTGTGTGTATCAGTAGTTCAATTTCTTTTGCTGCTGAACAGCATTGCATTGTATGGATATACCACAATTTATTAGTTGTTGGGTTGATTCTAGTTTTTGGCTACTACAAATAAAGCTGCTATTAACATTCATGTACAAGTCTTTGTGGGTACGTATGGTTTCTTTTCTCTTGGATGAATTTCTAGAGGTAGAACAGAAGATATATGTTTAACTTTTAAGAAACTGCCCAACTTTTTTCCAAAGAGATTGTACCTTTTTCATTCCCACTTGCAATGTATGAGAATTCCCATTTGTCCACATCCTTGCCAACATTTTTACTGTCTTGTCTTTTTAATTCTAGCCATTCAAAAAAAAAAAAAAACGAAACAAAACCATTGCTGTTGAGTTGATTCTGACTCATAGCGACCCTATAGGACAGAGTAGAACTGCCCCATAGAGTTTCCAGGGAGCAGCTGGTGGATTCAAACTGCTGGCCTTTTGGTTAGCAGCTGAACACTTAACCACTGTGCCACCAGGACCCCATAGCCATTCTAGTGGGTGTGAAATGATATCTTATTATGGTTTTGATTTGCTTTTTCTTAATGACTAATGATGTTGAGCTTTCACGTGCTTAGTTGTCAATAAGTCCCCATAAATTTAAAAGGATTCAAATCATGCAAAGTGTGTTCTCTGACCACAACGGAATTAAAACAGAAAGAATAGAAATCAATATTCTGATTTCAATACAGAAATCAATAATAGAAAGAATAAAATCCTCAAATATCTGGAAACTCAACATACATTCCTAAATAACCCATGGAACAAAGAAAAACCAAAAGAGCAACAACCCACTGCCATCAAGTCAATTCTGACTCATAGCGACCCCGTAGGGCTTGATCAAGGATCTGTTAATGCAAGCTTAGATTATTGATTTAAGAATTTTCTTTTTCTTCTAGTATAGGTGTTTTAATGCTATAAATTTCATCCTGCGTACTTCTTAGATGTATCCCACACATTTTGATATCTTGTGAATTCATTTTCAGTTAGTTTAAAATACTTTCCTATTGCTCTTTTGGAGCCCTGTTGGCGCACTGGTTAAAGCGATTGACTGGGAACCAAAAGGTCGGCGATTCGAAATCACCAGCAGCTCTGAGGGAGAAAGATGTGGCAGTCTACTTCCATAGAGATTTACAGCCTTGGAAACCCTATGGGGTCACTATGAGTTGAAGTTGACTTGATGGCAGTGGATTATCGCTCTTTTTGTTCTTTGTTCCATGCTGTTCCATTCTATTCGTCTGTTAATGGACACTTAGGTTGTTTCCATCTTTTTGCTATTGTGAGTAATGCTGCAATGAACATGGATGTCTCTATGTCTATTCGTTTGACAGCTCTTATTTCTTTAGGATATATTTGTAGTAGTGGGATTGCTGGATTATATGGTATTTATATTTCTAGCTTTTTAAGGAGGCACCATATCATTTTCCATAGTGGTTGTATCATTTTATATTCCTACCAGCAGTGCATAAGACTTCCAATATCCCCTCAACCTCTCCAACATTTGTTATTTTCTGTTCTGTTTTTTTGATTAGTGTCAGTAATGTCAGGGTGAAATGGTATCTCATTGTAGTTTTGATATGTATTTCTCTATTTCCTCATGTATCTGTTAGCTGCCTGAATGTCTTCTTTGGTGAAGTGTCTGTTTATATCCTTTGCCCATTTTTTTAATTGGATTATTTGTCTTTTTGTTGTTG